GGTGGCTGGAGAGGATGTTGCCGATGACCGGCTATAGTAGGCTGCTATTATTGTTATTATTATCATTATTGTTGTTGTTATTTTGAGGCATCTATAGTAGGTTCACATAGTGGGTAATTTGTTTTTTTAAGTGGGAGATTAGTAAAACCATTGTTATTAGGGTTGCCAAAAAATATTCGTATCCGAGGTATCCGTATTCGTTCTATTAGAATTGGGATATGGTTACTAATATTTATCTCTAATAGGATATGATTAAGTATAAGGATAAATAGTGAAATATGTGGATCAATATCCGAAATATAGGAATATATATTGGTCATACAATTCTAATTATTTTAATTCTTAGATTAATGGATTTGAGCTTGGTTTTGATGAGCAAGAGATCTAATCTTAGCTTTTTAGATATAACAGCTGTCTTAATAAACTATCTTGCATCATATGAATTATATTCTCTTTAATATTATATGGTTTTCGCATATTTATCTTATATCCATATGTATTTCCGCATATATATCCGTATGTGTATCCATAATTGTATATGAATTTGGTAGGTATGGATATGAATTTTTTTTTACCATGGTATGTGAATATTTGTATCCAGGATTGGCAGCAGATATAAATATCATGAAAAATGTCTTAAGGATCCAAAATATAGGATCAATGGAGAGGATAGGTGAGGTGTCCCCTCCCTATTGCATAATGAGCTGGTCATGCCAGCTCATTATGCAATAGGAGGGGGACACCTCACATGTCCCCTCCAAGGTCTCATATTTTAGGATATTGTAGCAGCACTCAAGTATCATATATGAGTCGTATCCAAACCATTAACACCCCTAATTGTGATTGGTGAAGATAATAAGTAAGTAGCTAGGGGAAGATGAAGTTGATATTATGCAGGGGTTGAGATTTTGAGTTTTGGGTTTGAATATGGTATATTTAATTAACTGCTAATTAACTGCCCTTAGGACTTAGAAGGTTGTTGGGTTATGGACCTAGAAAGCCTAATTTAATTTTGTTAGGCTTAGTAATATTAGTCAAGGGACAAGCATAGACTGCTTTGGAACTTCAAATCTTTGGTTTTCCCATGCCCAGCTGTCCAAATAGAGCTTTAGTATATTTATTGGTATATATTATTAAAAATATTATTATTGGGAGCCAGCTCTTGAGAACCCTAATAGTTTCTACAGGGAAATTTCGGTCGTTTGACATTTGATATTGTTGTGCGCAGCGGAAATTTCGGCAGAGTTTCTGGTGCACAATAAGAGAGAAAGATCAAAATAAGAATTCCCGTCTCACCAAGGAGACAAGAATCTGAAGCGGATATCTCAACCAAGTGAGATATCGGCTCTTCCTCTCATCAGTTCTAGGACTGACCTGTCGAGGGATCCTAAAAACTATTACAATGGCCACAAACTCAAACAATCAATTTTTACGTGGTTCGGCAAACTGCCTACGTCCACGGGGCAAGGAGGGGGGATCTACTATTATAGAGAAAAAGAATACAATGGGTTTACAACTCTCACAATCTCAACCCTCAAATAGGCTCCTTGCTTTTCTTCACAAGAAAAGGTCAGCCTCCAAATACTCTTTCTCTCTTCACAAAACCCGAGACAGCACCTGCACTGTAGCCGCCAAAAGGAAGAACATTGCTGACTGCTGCACTCCTTCACACGCCCCAATCAGCCGCCTGCACTTGTTTTTCTCCCCTCTGCCTACTCTTGCACGCGCCTCCAAGCCCTCTGCACTTTTCACCAAGCCCTTGCACGCCTCCAAGCTTTGCCTTTTTCTTTTGCTGCCGCCAAAAGAACCCCTCAACTTGCACTCCTCCTTCGCTGCACTTTTGTAGCCGCCAGCAAAAAGAAACCCACCTTGCACCTGCCTCCAAGCCTACTTCTCACAAAACCCTAGGTTACATTTTTATAGCAACTGGAACGGGTCTTGTCAAGGTTCGGGTGGGCCTGGCCTCTTTTGTCCGCTGGACACACACGCGGTTTCTTCTTTCTTTTTTTTTCTTTTTTTTTCAACTTTGTGGCCCCCACGAGTCACATCTTCATCAATTCTCCACCTCGGCGAAGTTTTCCCAAAACTAAGCCGACACCAACCAAACCAAATGCCTCACTTGTTGTGTCCAGTACGAAGTGAAACAATTCACGACAACGGACTCAATCCATAACAAGTCGAGGGCCCAAATGAGAATGCGAACACTCTCCAAATGTCGGTATCAACTCACCAAATCGATCTCACCCCCATCAAAATCCAAACCCGGCTGTATCATAAAGACTGCCTACTTATCCTCTTGCCAAAGGAATAAAGCCGAACGTAGTTCACCCAAATGGCCGCGAACGACCTCAATCCAATAGAAGAGTTCGCAACCCTTCTCCAATATCATCAACTCTGCGGCTGATAGCACCTCCAATGGCCTCAAACACCTCCACCTGAGGTGAACCAATGGTCATATCCAAACTGCATCTATCAGCTGCATTCGAGTCAAAACCCAACTCATCATCTGCATCCGAATCCAAATGACTTCCACGCTGTGTCACCTCAGCTGTCGAGTCAAAACCCAACTCATCATCTGCATCCGAATCCAAATGACTTCCACGCTGTGTCACCTCAGCTGAAATCCCAACCAATGCAGAATGACCTAGAGTATGTGAGAAAATCCCTACCCAATGTGGAGTAGCATCACTCTCCACCCGCTGCGATACCTCTAAGGTCTGTCCAAAACTCTTCACCAGATAGTACCGCCCGAATGAGCTTTGAACAAGGGCATTGAGTTTCTAGCCTTCGAGGATTTCTCTTTCTAGCTTTGCTCGTACCCCCAGCATGATAGTATAGCTTGTCCGTTTGAAAGTCGGAGCAACCTATCGTGTGTTGGCACGATTTCTCAGGTATAACGTAATCATCATCAGACGATAACTCCTCCAGCAAGGCACGGTCTTCCAAATTTGTCACCCTATCTAGCTGCCCCAAGATTTCCTTTCCAACGAAGTGTCTCGAAATGCCGTGAGCTCGGCTTCAACACAGAAACAGGTCCATCTTGTACCTCCCACCAGAATGGAGTACCTTCATCTTTCTGTCTATCACACACTTCTTCAATCTGTTGGATACTACTAGGAGTTTCTCCAAAGGGGATTTGGTTGTAACCCAAACACGCCTAGAACAGCCACCAACAAAGGAAACCAAACTTCTATTACCTCCCAATGATGCTCCCTTGGAAGGCCCCCAAACATCCACGTGAACTCCTCCAGAACGACCCTTAGCACGGTGAATAGAGGTGCCACACTTCACCTCGGTCTTCTTGCTCACATCAACATGTTCACTGGACTTTAAATTGCAGGTCTTTACACCCTCTTTCAATTTATGCGAGGAATCAATACTGGAATGGCCAAGCCCCAAATGCCGCAGTCTAGTCGAATCAACAGAAGTCGTCAGCTCTCCACCTGCCACTATACCTCCAGTCAAGTAATACAGGTTATTCCTCCTGACGCCCTTCATCACAATCCGAGAGTCTTCCACGATCTCGAGAACCATGTCCTCAACACGAACCTTCAGACCCTCTCCAACCAAAGCTCCAATCGAGATCAAGTTCTTCCTCAAAGAAGGAACATATCTCACATCGTTTAACTCTCTAACAGTCCCGTCAAACATCTTTATGCGAATTCTTCCTATCCCAAGGATCTGGCATGCACGGTTATCAGCCATGTACACCACACCACTATCCACCAGCTTCTCAAAACTGGAGAACCATTCCCTTCTAGGGCACACATGATAGGTCGCACCACTATCCAACATCCATTCAGATTCCTCCGAATAGCTATCTGTAGGACTGATAGAAAGCGAATAAATAGAAGAGTCAGAATTATTACCATCCGATACGATGTTTGCTTCTGATGATGGTTGCTTCCCTTTTCCCTTCTGCTTATTCTTCATCCATTCGTCGAGCTTTGGGCAGTCTTTCTTCCAATGACCAGTCTCCTTGCACCAAGCACACTGATCTTTTCCTACTCTAGACTGTGACTTCCAATTCTTTCGGTTTGGACCCTTCCCTCTTGCGACCAACGCCTCCGCTACCGGCTCAACCGAAGCCTCCTTATCCTTCTTTCGAAGCTGATAATTCACAAGTGCAGCGGTGACCTCACTATACGAAAGTGATGCCTTCCCATTAATCAGAGTAAGAACGAAGGTCTCATATTCCTCGTCGGGCAAGGAACTCAACAACAGCAACGCCTTGTCCTCATCTTCAATCTTGACATCCACATTCGCCAAATCCGCAAGAAGCTTTGTGTAGTGGTTCATGTGATCTCTAATGGAGGTTCCCTTCTTCAACTGGAAACGATAAAGTCTCCTCTTCAAATGCAAGCGATTTTCCACACTCTTGGTCAAATACTTGCTTTCGAGAATCTCCCAAATCTTCTTCGCAGAAGTCTCATTCATCACATCATATTTTAGATCTTGAGTCAAACAAGACCCGGGGTTTATCCGTGGACCACCGCGAGATCTAGATCCGGTCGGATCTACGCAGTACAACGGGTATTATTTTACCAAGGAAATAATAGCCGGGGGGGATTGGTTCACCAAGGAAACAATCGCCCAAATCTCGGGATCAAAGTCCAAGCTTTGATCCGGAGTGTGCCTGCGTAGATCTGAGATCTGGTCCTCTCGAACTCTTGCCTTAT